AACTACTATCGCAGACGACTTCGGACTAGGTTCGTTCTACTAAGTCGCCCTGACAACAGGACTAAGTTGCGACAACGAGGTCAACTCACTTCTACAAATCGAAAGGAGACTGCACCATACCATCTTTATCTTCATATCTTCAATTAAATTAAGATAATTTAAGTTTATACTTTCTCTTAAGCTTAAAATTGCAAGAATATGCGCCAATGATTTGCCTTTTAATCCTCTGTCTTTAGATAGATTTTATTGATACAATTCAAGTCAATTTGAGCAGCATAAGACAATCAAGATCTGATAGTTATATTTTTTGACTATAATCTGAGTAGGCCTCACATTATCGAAAAATTTCACTTAGCCTTGCTTGCTATAAGATATTATAGTAATAATTTAATGCACGTTCAGCTTCGGATCCTAACATGGACACTAATAAGGTCTAAATAAAAAAAAATTGAAGTTCAATCTGAATGAAAATCACTTATAGGAGACATGAAGATGACATCGAGAAATCTATGAATTTCATTGTGGAAAAATTCATTATATGTCTTACACCAACTTTTTAGAACTAAAGTAACTGAAGTCTTTATATATTATATTTGCGAATATGAGATTTAAATAAAAAGATGTAACTTTTAAATATTGAAATATTTATTATATTCTTTCACCTTGCACGTCTGCGAGGTTGGTAGTGAGTTAACTACTCGGGGGCCTCGGGAATAGGCGCAGATTGCTTCTGGAATAGTGGAAGAGGTCTTTAGTCCCGAAAACTGGTTGCATTTGTGTTGAGAGAGCTGCTTTTGCGGCTGCTGCTGCTGCCAATACACGCCACTCAATCTGCGAGCTGTCTTATCCGTGGGCTTATTTTCACTCAGCAGCGGCAAATCGGATTTGGGCAGACGGGCAAGAACGCTAGAAAGTGATTTTGACAGAGCTTGCAGAGGGTCGCCTGAAGTTGACTCCCTGAGGCAAAAGTCATCTGCCATCAAGTCATGAGAAATAAGAATATTACGAGTTTTTAGTATAAATACGTTTAATTTCAGTAGATTTATCTAAAGCGCCCAAGGCGATTCAACTTCAGAAGGGTTTTAGAAGATTTTTGGTTGCAGAATGAATAGGCTTGGGAGTATTTGAGGATAAAATTAAATCCAGCCAAATGTCCAAACAATATATTTTTACATAATTTACAAGATTTATCCACTTTTGTCCTAAAGGTTTAGTTTAAGTGTGAAAAAGATTTTCTTCTTGCTAAGAGTACATAGCAGATAATTCTCTTTACTATGTTGCCCAAAGATGGAATGTGCTACTTTTAGTCCTCGATAATTTAAGCTTTATAATAATATCATAAAAGGGCTAATCAGCTTCTAGAGCCTAGCAGCCTAGTAAAAAGCAGTAAAGAGTCTTTTGGAGTCTTTTTTACTATCAGAATAAATTAAATTTTATTATTTTCTCATTTATTACTTCATTTATTCAAGAATATGAATTGTAAAAAAATAAAATATAAAGTTATGAGACTTTAAGGGAAATTTTCTATACAATTTCTTCCTGCGAACTAATATTACCCTCCAAAATACTGTTAGGAAATCTCATACTCATCAGCTGTTAGAATCATAACGTTCTAGGACTCTGACCAACCTGTAGAGATGAACACATTGTCAGTATCTCCTGTGGAAGCCGGCTCAAAAGCAGATGATTTCTCGTGCCAGTCGCCTTCAGAAAATGTCGGGCTAGTCTTAAACCTCTGTTGCAAAGTGTTTGCGAACGACTTATCGTCCATCTCTGGTGTAGTCAGACCGTTGTATGATGACCTGGTGCCCGAGACAACTGAAGCAGTTAGGCCGGTAGAGTTCATCCGAGAGATCAAGGATGGCGGACCCTTTGTCGTCATGCCTGGACT